GACTTCGGGAAGCTGGACTTTCTTTTCGGGCAATTGCAGTTAGAGTGCAAAGAAGTGTAGACACTGTGGTTAGGTGTTGTCAGGCATGGTTTCGAAAAGGCCGTACGCAAAGAGCAAGGGGCACTGGACGCCGCCGTAGAACAACAGACCGTGAAGATCGCCGCCAAAGATTATTGGCCTTAAGGGACCGTTTCTCCACTACCAGGTCCATTGCAAATGAATGGTTTGCAGAACACGGAAGACCTATTGGCATGCGAAGTGTTTACCGACGAATGAGAAGTTTTGGCTTGTTTTCATACCGGCCACACTGGGTCCTCCATTTAACTCGAGAACACCGACGTAATCGCCTTGAGTGGTGCAGACAACGGTCACTCTGGGATCAGGAATGGAACAGTATTGTCTTTAGTGACGAGTCTCGATTTTGTTTAGGCATGCACGATGGTCGTGCCAGGGTTAGAAAGCGACGTCGTGAAAGGAGGAATCCACAGTTTTTTGTTGAAAGACATGTTCATCACACTGTTGGAGTTATGGTTTGGGGTGCTATAGCTTATGGTTCCAGGTCACCTTTAATCTTCATCAGAGGTAACATGAACGCGCAGCGTTATATCCACGAAGTTCTAGAACCCCATCTTTTACCCTATCTTGACACCCTGGCAGATCCAACTTTCCAACAAGATAATGCCCGACCACATGTTGCAAGAGTCACAATACACTTCTTTCAACATAATGATGTCACATTGTTACCATGGCCACGAAGCTCTCCCGACTTATCCCCAATTGAGCACGTGTGGGATATGATGGGTAGGAGATTGCTCAATTTGCAACGTCCTCCTCAGACTCTAGAAGCACTTCGAGAGGAGTTGGTGGTTGCCTGGAATGAGATACCACAGGAGGACATTGACCACCTAATCAGAAGCATGCCTACAGTATATTCAGATAAGAGATAGACCGGATGTAAACAAAAGGTTCGGGTGATTTTCACGCTAACGCCGCCGTCTCGACGTAAAACAGGAGCCCTCATTGGTCAATTCGCAATTAAATGACTATGCCGAGCGGCAGAGCAGTCGTATCAAGGCAGAGTCACATTCAGGTTCAGACGTGTTACGTATGTCGTTGTGCATCATTGCAATTTGATATTTCTTTGGACGTTTTCGTTTGTTATCTTATTAAGTTGTTGAGTTTGTCGTTGTTATTGTTATACCTTGTTATTGATTGTTATTGTTATCAACTGCTTGCGCAAAATGCCCAGTAGTACAAATACTGCCGATGAAATTGTAAACTCCTGTAGTCCACCTAGGAAACGCTCGAAAAAAAGACACCTGAGTGCAGAAATCAAAGAGGTCATTTTGAATATATATAAGATCGAGCGCGAGGAGAACGAGGCATCAACCATCAAAGAAATTGTTGTGAAGGTTTCTCACAAAGTTGGGGTGTGTCGCGCATCAGTGTTTAATGTGTTAAGACAATACAAAAAAAAATCACACCTTTTCTGAGCCAATGACCAGTAAACATTTTACCGAACTTAGAGGAAAACGCAGTAATTGTGTTGGATAATGCGCCTTATCATTCTCGAAGAATGGAGAAGGTCCCAACAACGGCTTCAAGGAAAGTTGATGTTCAAAATTGGCTCCGCTCGAAAAATATCAACTTTGAAGAAGCAATGCTGAGAGTACAATTATTAAGAATTGTCAAGGATCACAAGGCGGAATATCAAAAATACGCCATTGACGAAATGGCAGCAAGTCAAAATAAAACTGTGCTCCGTTTACCTCCATACCATTGCGAGCTCAATCCCATTGAGCTCATATGGGCAGAGGTAAAAAATTATATAGCTAAGCACAATACAACTTTTAAATTTTGTGACCTCAAAGGACTTTTCAAAGAAGCACTAGAATTAATAACAGCGCAAAAATGGGAAAACTGTATTAAGCACGTGAAAGACAAAGTTGAAAAGAGAATGTGGGAACTGGACAATATTTTAGAGGAACAAGTCGAGCCATTCATTATTGACGTTGGTGCTTCAGGCAGTAGCGATGATGAAAGCTCATCAAGCTCATCTTTCCAATGAAAGATGTCGTTCATCAAATTCGGTAAGTTATAAGTAATTGTAAAGCTACTGTATTTTTTAATTAATTATTGACATTTTTGAACCCATTTTGGCAAAACCTATTCAAGAATCTACTTTCTGACAATGTTCAACCATGCACATTTTTTTACGTTTTGAACGTTTTAATTTGGTTACATATTTACCTAGAAATCAAAAAATATACTAATCAATATTGTAAAAGCAATTTTAAGAGATATACGATTATTTTTAATTTAGGCTAATTTAAACGCCATTTTGAGATTATATTCGACTGTATTTCACCAAACATCAGGCGGCATCCGAAGCTGGAAATCGAAGCGAAAATTTTGAAACCCTTATGTATATTTACATCATTATATATTTCTTACCCCACCCCCACATGATCCTATATCCATCACCAATCGTATACACATCGAATTGTGCTAATTTACTACAAAGTTACGCAAAGCAGCATCTACTATCTAAAATATGTACTGCGTGACTCTTAATACGTCCCTGCCGAATGTTACAGCGTTCAATGATCACGTGGTCTTGTTTATGTCCGGTCTATCTCTTATCTGAATATACTGTAGGCGCGTTGGAGAATGCGTAGCACATCAGGGTGCATCCACACATAATTAAAGGTCAAAGGGCTTTAAAGCAGTGCAATCATTTTGAAATTTTTATCATTTACTTATTATGCTTCATTAAGTACTTACACAACATTTTATTAAAATAAAACCATTTAAACTGGGTGTTCAGATTTATATGTCACTTAGTATATAAATAAAAGAGACAATCAAGTTCTCAACACAGGCCTTTATTTCGATGCTAATAAAATGAGCCAGATTTTTTTTCTTAACCTTTTTATTGGATATTGGATTCACAATGGCATTTAATTGACTCTCAATTATTATTATTATATTTTGCTTTTTTTTTCATTCAGCGCTCAGTCCCAAGTTAAGGTTTGACAACGGAATTGTATACAACATTTAAAAATGCAAAACATTGGAAACGAACCAAATTTTTTGACGGATACTGAAAAGGGCCAACCGAAACTTCAATTTAACTAAAGAAAAATTTAACTAACGGTCAATTTCACCTACAATAGTCTACAATAGTTATTCTCCACCTATAGGGTAGCAGACCGTCAAATACAACGAATGAGCTTCAAGTTCCAATCAACAAATTTTAGCAACCAATAGTTATGAAATGTTGAAAACAAAATACTGTCATAGTATGAGATGACAGGTTGTCATTGAAACATCACCAGCTTATTGAATATTAAGAAATTACATATAATTCACTCAAAATTCAAAGAAATGTTGGATTTTTTGAATAAAATTCATGTTTCAATTACTATCGTTTATTGTTTATTTTCTTCATTTGATACGCGATACTTGGCGTTTTTTCCTATAAACCTCTTGCAGATAGCCCATTAAGCACCCTTGATGACAGGCTCTACCAAAAAATATTGCTCGTTTCCAAACATTCATTCATTTACTTGCCGTTCATCAGAACCATTATGGCACCTTAGATTGATATTCCCACAAAACCATTCAGGTTTTTTGATATGTATACATCCATAAAGTTGAATATTTTTCGTTGTTCAGGAACTGAACAAACATCCACACTATATTCACAGCGATTAAGAAATTCCCAAATATATACCAGCAAACCTAAAACCTGCAAGAAAACCTGCAAATTTGCCATATTTTTCTTTTTTCACGAGTACACAGTCTAGGTTATATTTATATTAGACATCATTTGAATACAGCTGATTATTGCATTTCAAGGAGTGACACATGTGTGGGATCTGTCAACTCTTGGTACCAGTCACAAAACATATACTCTGAAGGTTTAATTCCATGCTATTCAATGACAGCACGGTGACTTGTGTGGTTGTCAGCGGCCATTTTATGAGGGTGCGACAGGGTAGCCAGATTGTGCATTAATATCCCGTTTCACCCTCCTGGTCCCAGTTAACGAGTTTCACTTCACACGTTGTTACCAGACATGCCCAAATCATCAGTTGCTGCCGTGATATTCATCCCGACCACTGCATCCCCACGGCTTAGCGACTTTTATGTTAAATTTGTATTGATAGGGCAGCGGGTTATGCTATAACTCATATGTTACAATGTTTGTGCACTGATTGCAACCCATAAATTAATAAATGATTACTATTATAACGTAACTGAAGATGAGGAATTGGATAGAATGTATTTTATATTCTATTTCTTGCAAAATACAGACAAATCCACACTATTCAACAGGTATGTAATGATAACTTTCAGTATATTGAAGTTGGTAAATTCGAGAGTGCCATGCATTATCAAACGTCCAAATCTGCTGCCAAATTTAACAGCTAGAAAATCGACCTATTATTTGCCGCATTCCCATTCGCTGAGGGGATAACGGATTGTTAAATGTAAACCTATAACATATATCAAAATACATGAAAGTTGTCCCGTTTTTTCTGTACAAAAGCATCATGTCGGAATCATAAAATGGTCTTGTTTATAATACAGTCTAATTTTCACGATTTTATTCAATATTTCAATAGAAATCACTAATATTCAGAGACTTTTGACAGCTTCTGTCAAATTGCATTTCGATAAGGTATTTTCCCATTGGTCCATAATATTAATGTTGGTGAAATTGGTCCTTAATCTAGTTTAATTTGAAATTTAAAAGTTCTTAGGGAAGTTACCTTTGCAGTATCAGTACTATAAATCGATATGTAAAAAATTCTTGAATTGCAATAAACATACGTAGATGACTTCCAGATCTGTTGTTTTTAAGTTCAGATGTGAGCTATCGTCGTGTGTTCCAACTTCCTTTGACTTCAACGGCTTAGAAAACGCCATTCTTCATGCACAACTCTTATCGCAAACCCAATACCGACGACTGGTATACGAGGCACGTCAATGTGCTAAGAACTTAAAAACATATAAAAAGAGAACAGCTTACCTTCAAGTTTGATAACTCCATCTGTCTCGCCTAGAGAATTTTTCGCAACGCACTTGTAGAATCCGAAGTCTGACTTGTCAACTTTTCGTATTTTGAGCATCATGAATTTTTTGTATCCGTTGTCCATCGCCACTGCCTCGTATTTGTCACCTTAAAATAAAAACAGGCATTAGTATTTAGGTTCTTTTTGAAGACACTCTGAAAGTCTGCTTACTTTATTCAAACATAGACATGCTTATTCCTTCTTTTTTTTGTCAAACGTTCTGCTATTCATAAGAAAAATGTATTATTTGCTGCACAATGCGAGATGTTTAATTTGAATGTTTTAATCATTTTTCTTGTCATCAATCACATTGGGGGATACAGGGGATGACTCATGGCCATATCTGATCACAAAAAAAAAATGTTCAAGAGATAATGACTGGTTAGTCTGTGTTTTGTGTGGTTATAACGAGAAAATTCACAAAAATAATAATAGATACTACTACCTGAGATGATCATATCTCCTCTTTCTGTTGTCCAATAGTTGATTGAAGATGGAAAAGCTTCAGTTTTGCATTCAAGTGTGACGTCTTGACCTACGTAGGCAGCTTCAAGTTGATTTGATATTGACAGCATCGGTGGAACTGGAAAAACATAAGACATACTCTTTTCATTATCTCTGTTACGTAGTATACAATCTAGCAAAACTATACTAAGTGACATATAAATCCGAACACCCAGTTTAAATGGTTTTATTTTAATAAAATTTTGTATAAGTACTTAATGAAGCATAATAAGAAAATGAAAAAAATTTCAAAATGATTGCACTGCTTTAAGGCCCTTTGACCTTTAATAATGTGTGGATGCACCCTGATGTGCTACGCATTCTCCAACGCGCCTAGGCATGCTTCTGATCAGGTGGTCAATGTCGTCCTGTAGTATCTCATTTCAGGCAACCACCAACTCTTCTCGAAGTGCTTCTACAGTCAGAAGAGGACGTTGCAAATTGAGCAATCTCCTACCCATCATATCCCACACGTGCTCAATTGGGGATAAGTCGGGCGATCTTGGTGGCCATGGTAACAATGTGACATCATTATGTTGAAAGAAGTCTATTGTGACTCTTGCAACATGTGGTCGGGCATTATCTTGTTGGAAAGTTGGATCTGCCAGGGTGTCAAGATAGGGTAAAAGATGGGGTTCTAGAACTTCGTGGATATAACGCTGCGCGTTCATGTTACCGCTGATGCAGATTAAAGGTGACCTGGAACCATAAGCTATAGCACCCTAAACCATAACTCCAACAGTGTGATGAACATGTCTTTCAACAAAAAACTGTGGATTCCTCCTTTCACCACGTCGCCTTCTAACCCTGGCACGACCATCGTGCATGTCTAAACAAAATCGAGACTCGTCACTAAAGACAATACTGTTCCATTCCTGATCCCAGAGTGACCGTTGTCTGCACCACTCAAGGTGATTACGTCGGTGTTCTCGAGTTAAAGAGAGGACCCAGTGTGGCCGGTATGAAAACAAGCCAAAACTTCTCATTCGTCGGTAAACACTTCGCATGCCAATAGGTCTTCCGTGTTCTGCAAACCATTCATTTGCAATGGACCTGGTAGTGGAGAAACGGTCCCTTAAGGCCAATAATCTTAGGCGGCGATCTTCATGGTCTGTTGTTCTACGGCGGCGTCCAGTGCCCCTTGCTCTTTGCGTACGGCCTTCTCGAAGCCATGCCTGACAACACCTAACCACAGTGTCTACACTTCTTTGCACTCTAACTGCAATTGCCCGAAAAGAAAGTCCAGCTTCCCGAAGTCCCACTATACGGCCCCTATCAAACTCACTAAGTTGACGAAATCGTACAGGTCTCCGTACTCTAGGCATCGTAACCGATCGTAAAGGATGTCAAGAACCAAAATCCGCCAACGTCGATTCTTTACTGCGGCTGAAATATTCATTTTTAGAGCGTTAGTGAATTGAAAAAAAAGCAGTATAAAAACCGGAATGTCCAACTGATAAGGCTGAAAATTTTTTCACTTGTTATTTACAGTAAGATAAATACATTCACCAACTTTTATTAAAATAAAACCATGTAAACTGGGTGTTCGGATTTATATGTCACTTAGTATATATACGATTCCGTCACAGATTACTTTTGAAATTGAAACTCGATGCAGTTGTTACTGAGATTACACAGTGATTAAAGGCCAATCAACAGACATACCGACACACTAAAGCTAGAGAATTGGCGTAGACTACATATCAACATGGATTGTTGACCATCGCCTGTTGTTATTTGTAAAATAGTCCTCTGGAGTCAAAAATGACATACGTTTAATAAGTGATGATTTCATTGCAAGGTAGGTTTTGACTTTGTTCTGTAAATGGAACCTACATGGCATCAAGATCGCTCAGACAAAGGACAAACGCATCCCGTGCTACGTAGAGCAGAGATTTTTAATAATACGTTTATTTTCAACAGGCAGATACACTCAATTGTAGGAAATATCAATAGACGTTAGTAAAGAATAATCAACAATAATATACTATTTTATAACTTCATCAAGGTAAAGTCCGATGACGCGAGATTTATGACCGTATCCTACAGTTGTAGGAAACCTTTATGGTCTCATTGATTTTCGTAGTTTTCCACTGTTCCGTATCAGCACTCTATTTTGAGGGTATGTGACAAATATCTATTTGCATCAAATTGAAAAAAGAAAACATCACCTCACAATAGGACAGTGCTGACGCTGACACAGAACGGTAGAAATATAGAAATGCTCCAGCCTTCCTGAAGCAGAGAAAATCAAGGAGGCCTTAAAGGCGTCCTACAATTGTAGAAACGGCTGACGATACGGCCCTTATTGTCATTAAATATATCGCAGTTACTAATGCTATTAAATTGTGTAATTGGTGTGTCAGAAATCACAGTAAAATGCAGCACAATAACGGCTACATAAGCGAGGAACATTAAAACCTATGTTTGGATATACAGGGTGTAAACGTTATGATAGTCATTATTCAAATGGGTAATGCACTTAAAAAGGTACATTTCACAACTCTTCGTTGAATAGATCCCAATCTGCTAACAGAGTTTTGATACGTAGCGATGCATATTCAAGCTTGCTTCTGAAGTATGTTAGATATAGAAGCTTGATTTTTACGGGATCGCGACGGCACAGCGGTGAGACACTGACGACTCAGGACATTGATTTTGATGCATAGTGATTTCAGAAAACAGCGTTCGCAACCTTCTTTTGGCAAAATGACAAATTAAGCACTTCATATTCATAGCGGTGACCGCAGATTCCGCTCGGGTCCCGAACGGGCTCATTGAAGATTTAATACCTATATATGAAGAAGTTTTGAGAGGCGCTCGCCACTAAATCACCGCGATTTCCACGATATTGACGTCAAATTCAGAAGATAAACTGGAGCTGGTGACCCGCGAATTTTTATACGAGTTTAAAAGTTCCGCAAGAAAATTGGTCGAAATCGCGAAAGAGCACGCTCGGATAGCGTCGGATGTGTGTTTGTGGTTTAACAGTGCGGGCAAATTAGGAGCTCGAGAGCGTGTTAGGCAAGGTAATTCGTTCATTAGCTTTGATGCCACCCTCATTTGTTATTGTTGTAAAACATAGAAACGCTACTCAGATATTATACAAAGTAACTTGATTACAGTGGACCTCCGGTAATCCGGCCCCTGTCTAATCCGACATGTCTTTGAATATGTATTACATACATACGCATTTGAAAATCTTCGCTAATGTAGATCACGCAGGTTTGAACAGGTTATTACAACTTGTACGCGCCACCGCTATCGTGCTCGACGCGTAAGCATTGTTTTACTTAGTTTGAATTTGACTACTGGTGATAGCGGTACGACCTAGCGTGCGTTCATTGTTTACTATTTATTCATTGTGTATTAAGTATAGTACCTAGTAATGTCATCACAAACTCAGAAGCGAAAGCACAAAACATTGGCAATTAAAGAAAAATGTGATATTTTAGACCGCTTAAATCGCAACGAAGCTTTCAGTAATGAGCATGCACCAATTTCAGGACCCATGTTGGCCATGAAAGCTAAGTTTTTTTATAAGGAAATAACACAAAAATATGATTTTGTGGCCAGCAAATAATGGCTAGAACGTTTTAAAAGTCGTCATAGTATACGTTTAATGACTATTACAGGAGAGAAACTTTCTAACGATGCCACCTGCATAGAGCCCTTTGAATTAAGATTTTTGCAAAAGGTGAACGATTTAAATCTTGACCCGTCACAGGTGTACAATGCAGACAAAGCAGGGCTTTTTTGGCGTGTGATGCCTAACAAAATTTTCGTTTCTTGTAACGAAAAATCCGTACCTGGACGAAGTAAGTGAAGAGCGTGTAACCATACTACACGCGCTTAAGATGGTCATTGGGAAATCTCATAAACCACGGGCATTCAAAAACATTGATTTACCTGTACACTATTACGGACAAACAAGTGCATGGATGACAAAAGACCTTTTCAAAAAGTGGTTTGATGAATGCTTCGTACCTGAAGTGAGAAAATGTTTAAAAGATCATAATTTTCCTCAAAAAGCGTTGTTGCTTCTTGATAATGCTCCCGGTCATCCGTCTGAAGAAGAACTAACAACTGAGGATAAATGCATCACTGCGATGTTTCTTCCGGCAAATTACACTGCACTGATTCAACCAATGGACCAGAATATCATTCAGTTGTAAAGCAAGACTATAAGAAAAACCTACTTCTGAGAGCCGTATCAAAAGAAAAACCAATAGAAAAAACTTTAAAAGAATTAAATATGAAAGACTTGGTTTTTGCTCTTTGTCAGTCGTGGAATGCGTTACCGTCATCAACTATTAAATTGTCTTGGAAAAAGTTATGGCCAGATATAGTATTTTCGCAGATATTTTAAAGTACGGATTTTCTTTTTTTCCAGGTGACGTATCCCAAGATGACTGTTCTATAAGGGGAATAGTCTGCAACGCGGCGAGAAGAAACTGCGGAAGGAACTTGAGATATGTTTGTCTTATATTGGCTTTCGATGGCTTTATGATATCTTAAATTTAGCGGGTAATGGAAAAGGAAAATAAGAAAGCACGGCCTGCGGTGTTTACCTTGGCACAGCCAGATGTTATGGTTGCGAATATGTTCGATTCTCGAGCTGAACCACAGCGGTTTTTGTTTGAGTTTATGGGACGAAAAGCGGTAATGGATATCGCGCCGTAACGCCGCGACTTTCTATCGATGTAGACTTTAAAAGCCATATATCGTTATTGCACGTGAAGTTACGATGTTGACGTACAATTCAGTCAACTGAGTGGTTGTTTCTGTTTCTCGGATACCGAGTTTTGAAATTGTCTACCAAACTAGACGTATAAAGCAGGCTGTAGTGTCTTATGAGTTCTTTAAGTGCGGTTTTCAAAAATAAACAGGTATGATATTACTTGTTACAATTTTATATAGGGTGACTTCGAAGTTGAGTCATTTATTTTAACAGTGAGTAGATCTGATCAAAAGAAATGTTTTTTTCCTTTACCATTTTTCTGGCAAAATTAAAGTAACAAAGTTATAGCCCTTTGGAAGTTTGAGTACCGCCCTGTCTCAATCATAATATTATGTGCTCGTGTTTGGCAACAACGGATATAATCCGCCTTATCGGTTCATCGCATCGGAAACAAAAAAGCGAAAGAATTTGGAACGATGTTTTTACAATTATTTTATTCAGTTGTATACAGTCAGTGTCAGTCGGTAACGCGTGAGTGAATAGTGGTGTCTGTTGCGTGGCTCAAACGAAATAAAAAATGGCACATGTTTACGAAAATGCTGAACTTGTGGATATGATTCTTATTTACGCGGCATCACGGATTTATGCGGATCGGTTTCCCAATCGAGTGCAACCAACCCCTCGTGGCTTTGTTAATGTAGTACAAAGGGCTCGTGAATCAGGTGACTTAAGACCTCACAGGGGAAGGCATGCCGGTGCTCCAAGACCGCACGATCAAATACAGGTCCGCACTGAAATACTTGTCGGGAGGATACTTTATAAATCAAGGTAACATTTTTTTTAATTTTTTTTTATTTTTACACACATATTTTGGTTTATCTTCCTTCTACAATCATTATCTGAAAATTAATGACTCAACTTCAAAGTCACCCTGTATAATACAGGCAATAGTGCGAATTTTTTATAAATGGTGTTGAATGTGACCACCAAAATAGAGTAAACAAAAATTTAGTGTCGTTGGGGGAGTTATGAAAAATTTCTCCTATAATTTATGTAGAGATGGGGGTAGTTTTCACCCCTTTCGGATCCTTTAGAGATTACCGTAAAAGTCAAATATTAGAACGTCTAGCCAAACATGTGTTTTCCATATTTAATTCAAATCGGACTATGGGTTCTTAAGATAACTTAAAAAATACATACGTGGTACTTCTATGACGATCGAACATTGGGACACCTTGTATATCTACAAACTACAAAAATCAAATACAATTTGTTGGATATATTGACGAATTATGCTCCGTCCTCGTCGATGTAAATATTTAGAATACATATCGTAGTACCCTCGTAGTAGTACCTAAACGCCACGAGAACAATATGTATTCTAAATATTTACTTCGACGAGGACTTCACATAATTAGGATCGAACATCACTTACGGGTTAGTTCGTTTGATCATACAATTATTAAAAATATATCTCTCGAAGTATGGTAGGTAAAATCTAACATGTGACCAACGCTGTTCCCGAATCAACTATCTACGACGAATTATCCTTGGTGCAGCGGCAGGTAACACGGGATAGTAGTTTTATTAAATAAAGTTGCACATCCGATTTGGTATCGATTTTGGGAAACCGGGCCAACTCCGGCACGGTGCACCGTGGGCCCCAAATGCGAATTGAACAGGGAAGTTTCGGCGAGACAGAAACGGGTCAAATACGTTACGTTACTTTACAATCCGAGAAACGAGGTATTCGCTGTCTTGGAATGAACATGTTCTGTGACTTGCATGTCACTGTCGAGGATAAAGGAATTCGAATAGTTCAGCCTTGTTTTCCGTTGCTGCAGCCAACGAAATGTATCTTGCAAAATACCTTGTCGATGAACGTCTAACTGGACCGTTCGCACACGGCGGTAGGTTGCATGTGTATGTATGAGGCAGATGAAGATATATAACCGCCAAGAACGGCAACTACAACTATAACTGAGTAACTCTAAAATTCGGTTTAATTAAACGGAATTCTCTGGAACCAGTTTCCTGGAAAGCAACATATACTAAGTGACATATAAATCCGAACACCCAGTTTAAATGGTTGTTTAGGCATGCACGATGGTCGTGCCAGGGTTAGAAGGCGACGTGGTGAAAGGAGGAATCCACAGTTTTTTGTTGAAAGACATGTTCATCACACTGTTGGAGTTATGGTTTGGGGTGCTATAGCTTATGGTTCCAGGTCACCTTTAATCTTCATCAGAGGTAACATGAACGCGCAGCGTTATATCCACGAAGTTCTAGAACGCCATCTTTTACCCTCTCTTGACACCCTGGCAAATCCAACTTTCCAACAAGATAATGCCCGACCACATGTTGCAAGAGTCACAATAGACTTCTTTCAACATAGTAATGTCACATTGTTACCATGGCCACCAAGATCTCCCGACTTATCCCCAATTGAGCACGTGTGGGATATGATGGGTAAGAGATTTCTCAATTTGCAACGTCCTCCTCAGACTCTAGAAGCACTTCGAGACGAGTTGGTGGTTGCCTGGAATGAGATACCACAGGAGGACATTGACCACCTGATCAGAAGCATGCCTAGGCGCGTTGGAGAATGCGTAGCACATCAGGGTGCATCCACACATTATTAAAAGTCAAAGGGCTTTAAAGCAGTGCAATCATTTTGAAATTTTTATCATTTACTTATTATGCTTCATTAAGTACTTATACAAAACTTTATTAAAATAAAACCATTTAAACTGGGTGTTCGGATTTATATGTCACTTAGTATACTATTAAACTAATTTGCTTGAAAATAGCAAACCACCCGTTTTAATAAACGTTCTATTTAGTTTAGGTAATTTAGTCTGTGTAGAAACGGTACATTTAAAACAAATAAACAGTTTAATGAAAACAGTTGAACTGTTTGATTGGATCGTGAACTCGGCAAAACTCGGCTCTTTATTCATGGGGGTGACGCGCTCAGTTTCATTTGCGATTTTCGTGATATCATATTAGAATGTTGGCGTTGTTGTTGTAGTAGCTGTGAAGTGGAAGCTTTTTATTTATGCGGCCTTTTAGGTCAATTAACTGCATATATACCAAACATTTGCTTAACATAGGATTGATGTGCTTTTCTTTTATATTATATAACGTAAAATGGAACCTCCTAGTTATCAAATTCGGAAGTTTTCATTTTGAATCGAAAACATCAACTATAGATATAAAGTTCTCCAAATGATTTGATGCCTAAGATTTGTCGGATCCTTCTTGTTATACAGGGTGGCGTATCGAAAACGAAACAGACGCATTTACTGGCAGCACAGTTTTTTTTTGAGACCCGTCGATTTTGTTGTTCACTGTGACACAAGTTTGGAAAAAAATCACGTTAATACGTGCAGCCCCCTGGGCGGGGGTGACACCAACCCTATAATCTTAAATAGAAAGGGGGGTCGAGTGATACCTTTTTTTAAAGGTCTTTCAATGCCCTTTATAATGATGTAAAATACATCAGCCTCAGTTCAGTAGTTTTGAAGATTTACTGATTCAAATTCCAAATGTTATCGAAATATCCTTTTAAATCTTAGATAAAATAATTCATTACGACTAAGCAAATACCTTTACTGTAACTAATTATACGCTAATAAGTAAATAAGTACAATTAAGTTGTGTTTCTTGGTGCAGGTAAACTCATTTTAATCGTTCATTAATTTTAAGTATAGAGATTTACTCAATCTAAGTAAACGGTTGAAACAGTTTAATTAAACGACTGATTTTTGGTTTAATGAAAATAGTTCCATTGATTTAGGTAAACTGTTTTGGAAATCGGAGCTAAATTGAACTAACTAAAGTTGTTGGCTGTCAATTAATTGACCTAATTAAAATTATAATTGGTTTGACCAAATTCTTTATTCAGTATTTCATTGGGCTGTCTAACTACAATGAGTTACGGCTCTTTTCCAACACAGATGTCAACATCGTTTGACAGCAGACGTGCCGCCATCGCTGAGAATTTCGACGTCAAGACAACATCTGGGAGATAAGAAAAGATTGCTTGTTTATCTTCAAAACTTGACAACAAATTATGAAAGCAAATCAATTGAACATAGAATAAAATGACAATGCTTGAAAACTCGGTTAAAAATCATTCAAATCAAAATCAAATTCATATTTTGCTTTACAAGATTCTAGAAGGTGCATTTCGAAGTACATTTGCTTTGTAGGTTAATAAACATGAGCCTTTATGGGAATACTCACATTGTACCTTGAGCGAGATCCTTTTGCTGATAGAAGGAGGCACGCTGTTGGAGGCGATGCAGAGATACACGCCCATATGCAACCGACTCACTTTCGTGATGAACAGAACCTCGCCTTCCACAAAGTTCACTGAAACAAAAAAAAAATTGTTCAGCTATGCAAATGCTTGTAAAATACTTTTTCACCTAAACGGCTTGCGATATTCAATGAGCACCATTTAGATGAGGCGCGCACCTGTGAAAAAAGTTCTTGATTTTTTTATGATTACGTTTATTGTAACATGAAGCGAAAGGCTGACAAATCTGTTTGCTTTCCATGACCAACCGCGTACGACGTTGTTCCGGGCTTGCTCGCAATCATCACAAACAGAAACTGGATATAACCGCTGTAAGATTCATGTAGTGTCCGATACGCAACTGTGGAGAAAACTCATCCAGTCATACGATAAGAAAGCTTTCGATCAGCTGTCGCCGCAAGATATCCGACGAATTTGACTAGTTCTTCGTCCTACAAGGTCAATTCAGGTATTCGCCAGGGATCGCTCTTGGTTCCAACATTGTTTCTGTTATACAGTGTGTCCGCAAAGTTGGGGTTTTCCTTTACACGACGTGTAGATCTTGTAAACATAAGCAATTTTTCTTAGTACCATATACACCAATGTCTTAAGGGAAGCGAGATAAAGGGCTCTGCAACATCAAAAATATCTGAATACCGTCCTGTAGCCGCGACCCGCCGCGATATCCCCGACTGTTACAAGGTCTCAACCCGACGGCAGAACTGGGTCGGGGTCAGTGTGTCAGGTTAGTATGCAACCTTCAACCGAAGGTTACGGTCACGCGTGTAGAGGGAAACGAACTCGTATAATCGATTGCGTTTCAAAAAACAGCAAGCACTAGAGACGTGGCTAGAGAAGTGCAAGTATCAAAAACTAAAGTGTGGCAAACACTGCGTGCAGAGGGGCTGTATCCGTTTCACGTCCAACGAGAACAAGCCCTTCAACCTGACGATTTTCCAACAAGAGTGCGGTTTTGTGAGTGGTTGTTGCATCAACATGACAATAATCCGGACTTTTTGAAGTGCACATTGGTGACAGACGAATCTACGTTCACGCGCAATGGGGTGAATAACTTTCGCAACATTCATGTTTGGTCAGTAGAAAATCCGCACGCTGTCCATCGGGCACATTTTCAACAAACATGTTCGCTGAATGTTTGGGCTGGCATGGTGAACGGTATGCTCATTGGACCATTTATTCTCCCAAATCGATTGGACGGGATGCAATACCTAGACTTTTTACGCAACATTTTGCCCTCATTGTTTGCCTGCGTCTGCTCGGTAGCGCATCAGCTGATTTCATTTTCTGTTGGAGCGGTATGATTTCGGGCAGAGACGTACTTAGCCCTTCTCGTCAACTGGAGAGTGAGTACTTTTTCCTTTATTTTTTTTTTACTTGGTCGCCCTCGCCCTTTGTTATTTCAAGGGTAGTTGTTTCTGAAAAGGAAAACCCCAACTTTGCGGACACCCTGTATATCAACGACCTCGTTTCTCGTACGATCAATCCGAATCACAGTTTTACTGATGACAACATCCTATATGTAGGAACTCAGAGTGCACAGTTTCCGTCTAGCAGCGACTCCCTCTTTGAATAAATAAGCAGATAGCGGTTATTGCCAGTTAAAAAAAGCCAATCCTAAGAAAAGATAATTTGGACTTACAAAAATAGAAAACATGCTAAAAACTGGTGATTCTATCTAAAGAAGAAAACATACAAAAAATAAAAGTAAAATACATTTTCCACTCAAGTGAGAAACATATAAATTGTTTAAGTAATCCCTAGAGAGATGTTCAAACTTTACAGCATGTATATTCATAATAATTAGATATGATATTTAGGGTGGATTTCACCAGGATTGTCAAACCAACAGTCCGTTATCCTCCACCTATAGGGTAACAGTCCGTCAAATACAGCGAATGAGCTTCAAGTTACAGTCAACAAATTTTAGCAACCACTAGCTATGAAATGTTGAACACAACATACTGTCAAAGTATGAGATGACAGCTTGTCATTGAAACATCACCAGCTGATTGAATATTAAAAAATTACATATGATTCAGTAAAAATTTAAAAAAGTTAATATTGTCGATTGTTTATTCACGTTTATATTAGTTTCTTCAATTGATATGCGATTTAACTGACTCAACATCACCTACCGTGTGTTTTCTCCTATAAGTCTCTTGCAGATAGCCATTAAGCACCTACTTGATGACAGGCTCTACCAAAAATGTCGATTGATATTACCACATATCCATTTAGGATTTTTGATATCCATACATCCATAGTCAAATATTTTTTGATTGTTCACGAACTAGTTGATACCCAGATCACCGAGACCGCGTAGACATATCTTCATTTTATGAATACATGAAAGTGCTCCTCCTCGAGTTTCCTCATTCTCAACTAAAAATCTGTCCGCAAGCCATTGTACATTTGCTTCGTCGAACCGATATAATTTTTTGAAGCCACGACCCAGTGAAGGTAAACGAGGTTTGTACGTTTTAACATCCCTAACATCCACAATTTCCGCCATCATCGTTTGACCACCTTTCGTCGATGTTGAGTTTGCTACTGACCACACTCAGAATTTTTTAAGGATATGCTTCCTATGCCAAGTATACTAAGTGACATAAATCCGAACACCCAGTTTAAATGGCTTTATTTTAATAAAAGTTTGTGAATGTATTTATCTTACTGTAAATAACAAGTGGAAAAATTTTCAGCCTTATCAGTTGGACATTCCGGTTTTTATACTGCTTTTTTTTAATTCATTAACGCTCTAAAAATGAATATTTCGGCCGCAGTAAAGAATCAACGTTGGCGGATTTTGGTTCTTGACGTCCTTTCCGATCGGTTACGATGCCTAGAGTACGGAGACCTGTACGATTTCGTCAACTTAGTGAGTTTGATAGGGGCCGCATAGTGGGACTTCGGGAAGCTGGACTTTCTTTTCGGGCAATTGCAGTTAGAGTTCAAAGAAGTGTAGACACTGTGGTTAGGTGTTGTCAGGCATGGCTTCGAGAAGGCCGTACGCAAAGAGCAAGGGGCACTGGACGCCGACGTAGAACAACAGACCGTGAAGATCGCCGCCTAAGATTATTGGCCTTAAAGGACCGTTTCTCCACTACCAGGTCCATTGCAAATGAATGGTTTGCAGAACACGGAAGACCTATTGGCATGCGAAGTGTTTACCGACGAATGAGAAGCTTTGGCTTATTTTCATACCGGCCACACTGGGTCCTCCCTTTAACTCGAGAACACCGACGTAATCGCCTTGAGTGGTGCAGACAACGGTCACTTTGGGATCAGGAATGGAACAGTATTGTCTTTAGTGACGAGTATCGATTTTGTTTAGGCATGCACGATGGTCGTGCCAGGGTTAGAAGGCGACGTGGTGAAAGGAGGAATCCACAGTTTTTTGTTGAAAGACATGTTCATCACACTGTTGGAGTTATGGTTTGGGGTGCTATAGCTTATGGTTCCAGGTCACCTTTAATCTTCATCAGAGGTAACATGAACGCGCAGCGTTATATCCACGAAGTTCTAGAACCCCATCTTTTACCCTATCTTGACACCCTGGCAGATCCAACTTTCCAACAAGATAATGCCCGACCACATGTTGCAAGAGTCACAATAGACTTCTTTCAACATAATAATGTCACATTGTTACCATGGCCACCAAGATCTCCCGACTTATCCCCAATTGAGCACGTGTGGGATATGATGGGTAGGAGATTGCTCAATTTGCAACGTCCTCCTCAGACTCTAGAAGCACTTCGAGAGGAGTTGGTGGTTGCCTGGAATGAGATACCACAGGAGGACATTGACCACCTGATCAGAAGCATGCCTAGACGCGTTGGAGAATGCGTAGCACATCAGGGTGCATCCACACATTATTAAAGGTCAAAGGGCTTTAAAGCAGTGCAATCATTTTGAAATTTTTATCATTTATATGTCACTTAGTATAAGTACCTCACCCAAAAAAGATGTTTGCAGAGGACTCCACACCCGGTTCACCTACTTGCCGCTGTCCGCCTCCTCGTACGCCCGTACCTGTGTTGAATTTCCCTTTGTGCCCCGGGCGAGGCGGAAGGAAAACGTGGAAACATTCCCGGCGCACGGTACAGCACAATTTTCCCACTCGTTTCGTTTTCCCTTAATGGCACCGGAGACGTTCTCCGGCAAATAAGCCCGACCAATAAAAATTCAAAAACGCGCCCAATTATGTCCTCCGCCTCCTTTGTGTGTTGATTCCTACACCTTTCCTTTGGAGCGACAAGCTTTTTGCCCACCTGAAGCGTAAAATATTCGAGAAAGGGGGAAAAAGAGCATCTCAACGTGCTGACAGAAATATTGTTCTTCCTACAATGAAAACGGAATTAAAAGGTACGGAGGAATGTCCTGGTATTTAGATTTTCCCTAATGCCAAATGAGGGGTTGATATTATATTCTACCAAAAAGTACCTAAAGGTAGGGTTGCATTTTTCACTTTTTTCAGTTTTTTGTTTTCATTGGGATTAGAAAATTTACACCAATATTTATTGGGTTAACTTGAAAAACGCTTTTTAGCGACACTTCGCCTTTTTTATACTTTGTATAAATAAATCCTAATTATTATTATTAATTGCCAGGCAACCCTGCCGTAATCTGTTCTAATTTCATTTATTATTCATAGAAATAAATACTTTAAATTTATGTTACATCCATATTGTTCTATTTGCATATTTATGTTCCTCATTTAATTTGTTGTCTTAAGTTAAGGTTAAGTAGAGTAACTGTCGCTAGACTTCGCCCTATATTCAACCGTTTATATATTGTATACGACAATACATTAATAAAGGCGTAATAATAATATACTAAGTGACATATAAATCCGAACACCCAGTTTAAATGGTTTTATTTTAATAAAAGTTGGTGAATGTATTTATCTTACTGTAAATAACAAGTGAAAAAATGTTCAGCCTTATCAGTTGGACATTCCGGTTTTTATACTGCTTTTTTTTTAATTCACTAACGCTCTAAAAATGAATATTTCAGCCGCAGTAAAGAATCAACGTTGG